CCCTTATCTGTTTGCCCTCTCTCCTCAACATACTGCAATTTCTGGCAGTAACAACCTGTGAAAATGAAAGAAAGATATCCAAGAGAATGACTACTTTGTTACAAGAAGAACATGCAGATTTTACATAGCATGCACGAAGATAAGATCTGTCCTTGTTTATGTTACCTTTACAGTGTTGCAAAACAGAAAATCCGCTTCATATTACAGTATGCTGCTAATGTTAAGCAAGTATTTATCCAAGGACCCAACATCAGAGAGAAGTATTGATTTTCATAGTTGTACTATTAATCAGCTATAAAGAGCTCAGCATTCATAGAATGAGAAAGTGGAGTAATACGATGAGCTGTGACCTGTTGTTTTATGGCAGGTCAAAGTCAGTATTATTATTAATTCGTCTGGTGCCATACTAAACAACTGAGCAGAAGGCTGGCGAAGTAAATAAGCCGAGCAGTTTATTATTGACAGATTTAAAATCTTTTACAGCTACCAAAAAATAGTTCACACAAGACACAGACAGTTACTTTATAATCAAACTGCAATATTTCAAGGCTTCTAGTAACACTGATAAGGACGCCATCTTCTATTCACATTCATATTGTAAATGCACTGTCAATGTCGCTTAGCTTGATATAACAGGAGACAGCTTTTGTGTCTTGTACAAATTCCTCAGTTGCTGCATTATTAAACTGATAAAGCAACGGATGAATAATTTGTGTCCTCTCATAGTGACAAAAATAAATAAATAAGTAAAAGTGACAGTGCAATATACCAGAAACATAACCTAATACAAGTTTTCTAATGCAGATTTAGTTCAGATTAGTCCACTCACTCAATATCACGATGATGGTAAACAAAACTTGAACTGCATGCATTTACAAATGTGCAATCAAGCTTGCATGGAGGAAGAAGGGTTTATCTCACAGATACACAAAGATGCATGATGAGTGATGTAACCTGGAGTAATGCAGTCTTTCAGCATCAGACTTTTTCCAGGCCGTCTTCTGGAGCTAATCAGACCCCAGCTTGTGTCCCAGCAGCAGGTATCAATGGATTCAATTCAGTTTTATTTATTTCACATCAAATCACAACAACAGCTGCCTAAAGGCGCTTAATCTGTCTTCTTAATCCAAACCTACCTGGTGGCTTTCTCTATGGCTTCAGTAGTGGATCTAACAGATCTCTTTGTATCTTGTCCAGTGATGCCTTGTACTTTGCGCCCTGTAAAACCTCACCAGCTCACCCTCACAGGCTTGCAAGCTTCCAAGCTTACAGGCTTAGTGGTACTTACACCTAGTACCTAGGAACTTGGCATGATTTTGTTTGCTTCATCCATTTGATCTTTCCAGTTGTTGGCAGTGGTAAGGCTAGCTTTTGGAAAGATGTTAGAAAATTAGATTTTCTGCTGTAGTACATTTTCCCTTCTCATTGGAGCTCGTTGCGATCACATCCCCACCATCATACTGGTTCAAAGTTCCCCCACACCCGCTTGCACACACATCTGAATAAGGTGTTGCTGGTCTTTGTCCTTGGTGTCGTTGACCCTGGTTGAGGGAAGTAGGTCTTATAAAAGAGAAAGGAGAAGCAGACCATTTTGACTAGGTGGACCACACCTAAAAATAATTATCTCATAATCTCTGAAATCTCAAGGAGTTCAAAAAAATAATTAATTTACAATAAAATAACATTGTAAAACCAGGCTGGGCCAGGAACAACTAAAGAGTTTAAAAGACTAAGTAACATAAAAAGAGTTCTAAAACAGTATATATACAGAAAACCCCCACAAAACTAAAAGATTTTGCAGTAAAGTGCCTCCAAAGCCCTAAAAGAGAGCTACAAGTCCAGTAAAAAAAGTCCCCTGTCATCCCTCATCCCTCATGTACCCGTTTGTCTTCTGTCCACACTGTGTGCACTGCATGCTGACCTGTGAGTGAAGGTCAGCATGCAGTGCTGAGTCACTCAGTCAGTGCTGAGTAAACACCAATCCTTCTTTAGTACTATGAAGAGTCAAAGAGAGATCCTTTGCCCACGGGTGATCCTCACTTACTTTACTGTCACAATACCACAAGGGCTAAGATGCTGTCTGTCTGCCTCCTGCTCACACTACTGTCTCTCTCTCTTGAAAAACCAAGACCACTATGCCCCCCCTCTGCCAGATTTCGAAATATCTGTCCAGATATCTGTCCTCTGTCTGCTGTAGCTTGCTCCAACAGGTCACTCTTTTATCCCCCTGGCCTGGTCTGCTGTGCCTCTCTCCTGCTGTTGGCCTGTCTCTGTTATTAAGAAAGTTTAACAGAGCAGGTGTGTCGTGTTGCCTTTAACTTGGGAGACTTCAATGTGAACTGAAATCCCAAGTAATTCCCCAAATAAAAGCATGCAAATAAAAAGTGAAAAAACAAACAAACATGCAAAGCATAAAACAATCAAAAACCATTAGTAAAAAAATCCCATCACAGCTCTCGTAACTATTTCCTAATAATAGCATGATGAAAAGTTTCAGTGTGACTCGTGAAAAGATACTGTAGCAACTTTGTGGATAATTTATAATGCATAAAGTCGTACAGTTGTTCATGTTTAAGTTAATGTGTCAAGTGCAGTGTTAGAGCGGGTACTGCAGGCTCGTGTTGTTGGTGCTTTGTTTAATTCAATGTAGTTCAATTCACTTTTATTTATATAGCACCAAATCACAACAACAGCTGCCTCAACTCATGTTATATTATCAGGTAAATACCTTTCAATATTAAAAACCAAACTCCAACAATCAGACAGAATTCTATGAGTAGCTGTAACATGTGGAAGGAAAATCCTTTTAAAACGAAGGACCCTCCAGCAGAAGCAGGCAGAACTTTGCTGTTGTTCATTTATAACCTGATCTCCAACGTTATGACTGAGGATGATTTTGGCTTGTGGCAGCCCACCATGGCTGAAGCTGCTTAGGCAATTAGTGTCCCTGACCTAGGGCTGTGCAATATCATATAATCTGCAATAATCCCGTTACAAATTTGAAACGATATAAAAATGTAATATTGTGACGTCAATGTGATAGCAACACCACCAACACCATTTACATCCCCTAATGCAGGGGTGGCAAACTCAATTGCACAGGGGGCCAAAACTCAAAGCACACTTTAGGTCGCGGGCCAAACAAGATAAACATTTATTGAACACACTAAAACAATGTTTTTTAAACATAAATATGAATAAAAACAGACAGGAATATTATTCCAGAATAAATAAACTTAAAAAAATAAACTTTCATAAACAGAAGTTTGACTTGATTGACACGGGAATGTTCCTAGTTAGCCTAGCGTTCAGCAAGGAGGCTGCAGCACTGCATTATGGGATCTGTAGTTTGTATATTATTAGCGCATCATATCGCCGGGCCATACATAACAATAATAGTACATCTATATAAAATGATCTCGCGGGCCGGATATAAATGTACGCCGGGCCGGATGTGGCCCGCGGGCCTTGACTTTGACACATGTGCCCTAATGCATGCAACAAAACAATCACAAAAGCTGTGTGTCAGCAGCCATTGATGACTGAGTACTTAAAATGGGACCTACTTCAACAGCCTTCAAGAAACCACAGGGCTTTGCATTATATGCAAAAAAGAATTCCAGATAATGGGGGAAACTACTAACTTGTTTCACCATTTGAAGTAAAATTACATTTTCGAGTATAGCCAGGGTATGGGAGAGGGGATACTAGCAGTTGGTGATAAGAGACCCAAATGTAAACAGATAACTACAGTCATTATCACTGGAGTTCTTGTTAGTTGCACTTGCTATTTGCATTGACTAGTTGCACTCTAAATGAAAACAAGCAATGGATGGAAATTATCAATGCGGTTATTTGGTGGGAAAGCAGGGCTTTAGGTAACTGGTTAAAAAGCTCAACTCAAAATATAACATCGCAAGTAGATTTAAAAAAAAATTATTTCCTTATGGAGGTCTTGAAGAGTTACAAGCTTAAGTTTCTTTAGTTATTATTGGACTAAAGCAGTCATAGTCTTTTGCTATGTGCTCAAAACTATAGTCAGCATTAATGCCTTTCACTAGCCTTTTATTAAGTGTTATTTGATAACTGGATGCCTTTGCTTTACCTGTGAATATCACACCACTCCGAGATATTTTGTAAAAGTGACTCTCATAACAGCCAGCAGCACTGCTGACATAGCAGTTGTGGAAAATGGAGCATCAGTGTTGGGTTGTGTTCCAGGAAGTGTACAGCGGTTGTTCTAAGAAATAGTTAAGTGCAGAGAC